CCCCCTGGGTTCATCACCTTGCTCCCCAGCTACGCACGGCACCCCCAGTGGACAGCCCTGAACTCGGGATGACCGCGTTGCCTCCCAGACAAGCTGTCAGAGAACTGGATGGATGTGTGCTCGCTCTCACCTCCCCGGTGCGGGACACAGTGGGGTGGGGAGGGCAGAGGAGTGACACCTGCTTGGCCCACCCCAGGCAAGTCCCTGGGTGGAGGGGACCCCCCACGAGATCTGGCTGCAGAGGAGGCTCCCGGACCCCTGGGGCCCCAAACCCAGGATTGGGGCCCCAAACCCAGGCCTAGCGTCCATTCACTGCCCTCCCTCCGTTTTCTCATGACCTGGCCAGGAGCCTGAGGTCATGGTGACTGCCACTGGACAGAGGCTCCGATGGGGGTCATGAGGTAGGTGACAGGCTCAGCACCCCACAGTCGGAAGGGACCCTCAGGGCTCTCAGCCCTTGTAGGGGCTGCCTGTCTGCCCGACCCTCTGCTTTTTCTGGATGTTAAGTGTGGAGACAGAGGGGGCAGCGGGTCACTGGGGGCCGCGCACCCTGATAAGCACCGGGGACCACAGAGCTAAGGCAGTGGCAGCTACCCTCCCAGATGCGCTTTGGGGATTTCATGGGGATTTCAGATTATAGCTCTCAGCCATCTGCATATCAGAATTTTAAACAGCCAGCCCCTCGAGCGAACAAGGTCATTTCAAAGATAAAAATACCCAGCTCTCCGGGTCCCTGCCGCCCAACCCCTCTCCCTTCACACTCCAGCCAGCGGCTCAAGGGAAGATGAGGGCCGGGTAGGGCCGGGCAGGGCAGCCCCCTGCCCACGGCGGGCCATTCCCCACAGACCCTCAGCCCGGGGTGGGTCCCCTGCTCTGCTCTCATCCACTTTCCCTGAGGCAACCCGAGGGGACCCCCGTTTCCCTCGGGACCAACCCCCCGCCCACCTGGCACCCTGCTCAGTCCCCCGGGAGCCTGGCGTGGGCTGTGCCTCTGCCCGGCATTCCCCACTCCCAACTCCACGCGGACCTCGTGCCCTCAGGCCCCTCAGGGTCACCTTTCTGTCTAGGACCCCTGCCTTCCCACCCAGTCCACGGCTGGCTCGCCGGTGGCGTTTGGGCTCCACGAGGACGCAGGACGCCCCGGCCTCTCCCGAGGCAGCAGGCGTTCACCCTGCACCGTGCAGCGTGGCCTCTGCTCCAGCCTCACCCACCCACATGGCGGCTGCTGCCCGAACTGCTCAGAGGAGGGAGGCGTCATCTCCGAGACCAAGCAGTCTCTGACCCAGCCTGGGTCCCGGGTTCCTGACGGTCAGTGGGGACCCCTGGGCCAAGGTGCCCATCACCAGTAGGGGCATGAGAGGTGGACCCCCCCCTTCCCCGCTCCATGGCCACGTGCTCGGCTGGCCGAGGGGTTGCAGTACCTTCCTGCTGGACAGCGGAATTCTGGTCTCAGAGAGCAGCTTCTCCCTGGAACCTGCCTACACGTCCCCTCCCCTACCCACAGGCACCCGGGCCACCAGGGCAAGATGACGGCACTGAGTGGGGAGCTGCTCTGCCCTGCGTCCCATTTGTACAGACGAGGAAACTGAGGCCCAGAGAGGTCGAGTAACCAGCCCACCGTCGCTCAGCAAAGCTGGACCCCAGCCCAGGCAGGCAGGCAGGCAGGCAGGCCCCGGCCTCTCAGCACTGCTGGGGCGGGGGTGGTTCCCACTCGAAGCAGTCACACTTGAGAACCAGCCGCCGGCAGCTAGTGACCCGATGATGGTCACAACGTCCAAAAGTGACCCCGACACTGACCACATCCCAGCCTGGGTCGGGAGCTCTGGGGTCGCCGGGTCACGGGTGGGAGGAGGGAGCTAGCGTGGGGACAGTAACAAGGCCCGGAGAGAACAGGCCCCTTGCACACCCGCACTCTCGTGTTTACAAAGCCCTCAAGGGTCCAGGACCTCGCTGTGTCTGCAGCGCGTGTGTGTCGAGAGCCCCCTGGGAGGACAGGAGCCGGGAGGCCTCCCTCCTGCCTGGTGTCGTGTGGTATCTCCTGGGGGTCTTTGTGGCCACCTGCTCGGGGCCTTGACTGCTGTAGGCAGGGCAGCTGCGCTGCACCCACCATGCAGCTGGAGAGAGGCACTGAGACCCAGCCTCTCTGCCGGGCTGATGTCACCTGCCCCTGGGACCCTGCAGTGTCAGCACCCTCCCTGGGCGATGGGGGCGACCACCTGCAGGGGCAGCACCAGGTGTGTGCGAGCCCTGGCCTCCAGGGCCTACCCTCACGCAGCTCACATGGGAAACCGAGGCTTGGGGCCCAGTCACTCCTCGAAGCCAGACGGTACAGGCTGCGCTGTGGTCCAGACCAGCCCGCCATCCCAGAGGGGAAGGTGGGGGTGCCCCCAGGCACAGCTCGGGTCCCCAGGGCTGCACTTTTCCCCATGGGGGACGGGGCAGGAGGGGCAAGTGGAGATCAAAAGACAAACTCAGATGGTGGGGTGGGAGGAGACACGAAGGGGCGGGGCCCAGAGGGACAGCGAAGGAAAAGGGGCCGGGGAACCTCGCAGGGCACAAGGACCTGCAGCGAAGGCCCCTGGACACCCCTGTCCCCCGGCCGGTTCCTGGGCTGGGCACTGCCCTTGGGGACGGCGACCCAGGCAAGCCTGCCACCCTATCGCCAGCACGGCGGCCCCTGTGAGATAAGAGCCCACGGGGCCTCTCTGGCTTCCCGGCCGGGTGATAAGTGTGGCCTGTTTGGGGTCTGATAGGGGGCGGCCACCACGGCGGTTGGCCGGAGGCTGCTTATCGGCCCATCGCTGCCCACTGCACAGAAATTCCTATCTGTGGGGGCCGATAGGGAGCCCCCCAGCCCCCGAGGACGCAAATAGCGCAGGAAGCTCCCGGGTGCACCCACCCAAGCCACGGCCCCCGCGGCCACTCCGGGGCCAGGTTCCAATCTCCAGGGGCCTCTGCCTTCCCATCTGTAAAACGGGGATGGTGGTACTAAGTCCGCAGGGTGGGCGGGGACCGACCGGAGGACAGCTGAGGCTGGCGTCTACACACTTGCTGCCTGAGCTCCAGAACCAGGTGGTGGGTCTGCATCCTGGCTGTGTCACCTCGCGGGTGGTGACGCGGACAGACCCTTTAGTTGCTCTGTGCCTGGATCTCTCCGTAAAGGGGAGGGTCGCCTCACCCCTGCCTCGAGGGGCTGGTGTGAGGACCGCCTCGCACATTCCTCCCCACGGTCACCCTGTCCAGCAGCTGCTCTCTCAGCCCCCCGCCTGCCCAGTGGCCGATCAGGGCCCACAGGCACCCAGGCGGTCCCTAGAGTGTGCGAGCCATGGTCCGAGGCAGTGCTGAGCCAGCGTCTCTGGGTGCTTCGTTGTTACCCTGTCCTAGAGCTGGGGAAACGGAGGCGGCAGAGTGGTCTGACCGCGGGCACCAGCCCCACAGCACTGTCCCCTGTGTGCGGAATGGCCCAGCCCCGGCAGGCGGGTATCTGGCTCAGCTGTGCCCGACCGGGCTGTGAGGGCCTCATACACACATGACCTGTCCCTGGCCAGGTGCTCCTTGTGAGAAGAGGACGTCCCTGCCAGGGCCCTTGGGGCCCCTCCCCTGCCTGTCACTGAGTCACTGAAGTGGGGTGGGGGGCGGCCAAGTCCATCCGGGGGGCAGCGGTGTCCCTGTGCTAAGCCCCATTCCCGTCCTGGGGCAGCAGAGGGGACCCCCAGCCTGTCTGACCCAGGATGCTTCACTCCCAGGCAGCACCATGGCCCATGCAGGTGGGAGATGCTGGCAGTAGACTGTTTCCCTGTGGTCTGGGGTCACCATCTAGGCTGGGACCACCAGGCCCATCCCTCCCTCTCTGGGCCTCAGACACCTACCTACTGTAGGAAAAGGTGTGTTAAATCAGCAGGGGGACCAGAAGGCACACGTGCCACCTCATCTCCTTGGTGCCACGCAGACGTCACTAATCGATCCCAGCACTCTTTTCTTGACACCTTGGGATCCTGATGAAGGGTCCACATGGCCACTCAAATTGAACCTGGCAGGAGACCATCTCTGACACCCCTGGGAGACCATGGGGGTCCTCTCTGCCCTGGTGTGGTCTCCCTGACCCCCTGCAAGATGAGGCCCTTGCCATGTGCCTCCTTTCCACTGGCCACTGACTGCATTTGTGTCATCACAGCTCTCTGAGGACCCTGTTTGCTCAGAGCTGTACCTCGGGTACACAGCAGGTGCTCGATATGTGCTTGCTACGTGCATGTGCGCCTGGCCTGAGTGTGCAACCTCCATTCTCTACCTCTGTTCCCGAGGACCACGCCCTCCCTCCTTCACCCAGCAGCTCCCAGGACCCCTCCGAGCTGCCCCGGTTCCCCTGAGCCGCGTCACTTGTACTTAGGAAGCATGGCAGCAGCCGACACGACCAGCCTGCCCTATACTCATACGTCGGTGGAAGTGGGGAGCCGCGGGCACAACACATCTGGTGGGCCCTCCGAGGTCAGAATTCCAGCTACAAGCGGGGGTGGGGCAGTGCTGGGAGCACGAAACCGCCTTTAAAGACACTCCTGATCCAGGACCCGGTGGCTTGGAACGGCCTCCGGCCCCCTGCCACGCGCTGCAGCCACCCCAGGGGTGGGTCCTCTCCACCCACACAGGCTTGTGCCCCTAGCTGGGCTGGGAAGGCGCAGGTACTCGGGCCGCTCCAGACTCGCATTCCCACCTCCAGGGAAGCCTCAGAGGCTTATCTGCTGCTAGGGGCCTGGGGTTTAGCCCTGAGCACCGGCACAGCTTGGCGCCCACCTCCAGGGGAGCCGCTGGCCCACGGGCTGGCTGGACTTTGCAACAGGACAGACCTGGGCCTGGTGCTTCACCACCAATCTCCTTGGCCAGTGGGCCGGGCCTGTCGCACCCGTGCTGTCAGGGTGGCCAGCTCCCAGGACCCCCAGAAGGCTGGGCCCCAGGGCTGCCCCAGAGAGACAAGGCCGCCAGACCCCGGACACAGGCGCGCTTACCTGGCCCGCTCCAGGGGCTGCTGGCCTCTTCCTCCTCCAGCCTCGTCTCCGGCTCCGGACCCTCCGTCTCCTCAGAGCCTCCTGGGGACGTGGGGGCGGGTGGTAGCGGTGGGGGTGGAGGAGTAGCATCTGCAGGAAGGAAAACATCAGAAGGTTCTAGTGAGCCTCGGGGGCACCGAGTTGCCCGCCCACCCCAGCCTGTGGCCGGGAGGGATACCGAGGCCCAGGTGGGTGAGCATGTGGCACAGTTCCGGCCACCACCCTCCCCCCACCAGCTTGCTCTCAGGGGGCACCGTCAGACATCTCAGTTTCTCCCCCTTCATTTTTGGCCTTGAAAAGCCCTCAGCCCCTTATTAACTGCGGCGCGGTAGCTGCCCGCCCGGCACGCCCAGGCCAGCAGGCACACGCGTGGCCCGGATCCCTGGTCTCCTCGGCCGGCAGCTGGGGGCTCCTCCGCCAGGCCCCGCACCCAATTCCAGCCCAAAGGGCATATTTGCCTTCCCTGCTGGGCCCGATAACCACCACGGCCCCCAATCGATGAGCGCCCATAAAAGCCCCCCCTTGGTGACGTCACGCGCCAGGCAGATTATTAATACCCACGATAAGGGCCGTGATTAACATCGAATAAATCAATCACACGGTATAAAAGTCCTATTATTTTTGGCTATAAATCAACGCGGCTGGCATCCGAGCTCCAGCCACTGCGCGGGAGCCGCACCGGGCCCGCCCGACAGGCAGACATTGCTCCTACCGTCTTATCGCGCCCATCAGCGCGTTATCACTGAGGCCTGTGCCAGGTGCAACCCCGGCTGTTTTTTTCCAGCTCCTCCCCAGTCCCGCCCCCGCCCCCACCCTGTGCAGCCCAGCTCCCAGATCAGATAAGGGGCCCGGCTCCCCGGGGCAAAGTCCACCGGTAACCGGCCGCTAGCCCTTCGGGGAGCGTGGCCCCCATTAGCACGCAGCACCCGATGGTGACGGTGGTGGTGATGGGGGGCCCCTCGCCACTCCCTGGGCCCTCGGAGGGGCTGGCGCCCCGTTACAGATGCGGAAACCAAGGCTCAGAAAGGGCAGGAGCCCGGGCGGGGACAGGCCGGGGTGAACGCTGGCCGCAGCACTAAACACTGATGGTGACGGTGAAGGTAGAGACAGTAATAGCTGTGAACACGAGCGCCAGAGCCCAGGCCCTGAGCCTCCACCCCGCCTGCTGCCCCGGGGCAGCTGCGGGTGACGGGAGCCCCTGCCTTGGTTTCAAGTCCTGCTAGCCTAGCCTCCTCCTCACTGCACAGCCCCAGTGACCCCAAGGGGCTGCCGCTGGGCAAAGGGACACAGGCCAGCAGGTCTCAGAGGATGAGGCTTATTGGGGGCATGTGGTCAGCCGGGGGAAACTCTGACACTGGCACATCCTGGGGATGGGGGTCCACAGTGAGGAGCCCCCCACCATCTGTGTAGGATCTCCACCCCCCAGTCCCAGCCCTGCAGGGCTCTCCTCCTGTCCCCTCTGTGCCACCCCAGGGCCTTTGCACGTGCAGGTGTGTGTAGCACGGGGAACTCTACCCGTCCTGCAGGTTTCTGTTCACTGCCACACCCACCCCATCTTGCCTTCATTCCTGGGCACACCACCCACTAAAACGGCCCCATTTATGGCTATGTCTCCCCCATGGGACTACTGTCTGGGGGTAACTCAGCCTCTGCGCACAGGGCTTCGTGGTATGGAATGGGGACGTGAGTGAGATTGCTGTCCACGGCCGGCAGGGTGGAGGGGGGCGAGGGGATCGGGGCTCAGAGCAGGGGCCAGGGCAGAGCCCACCCCGCCGATCCTCCCTCCGCTAACTCCCCAGCCTCAGCTCCCCCTTCTGGAAAACAGGGGTGAGGGCACTAACCTCCCCCAGGGCCTCCACCGCAGTGAGGCCCATCCTCTTGGGGGGGTCTTTGGGGGTCTCTGAGGGCACAGCTGGCCTGAGAGGATGGCCCAGCTTTGAGGCCCCTCCGGGGACCCGGACAGAGGAGGCCTCCTAGTGTCAGGTTAATTCAGCCCCGGCTGTGTGTGTGGGAGTCTCTCCTTCCGAGTCCTGTTCTCAGCTTCAGAAAAGTGCCCCCAAACCCTGGGGAAACTGCCAGGAGTGCCCCAGGAGAGGTTCCAGGCATCCAGGGTGGGGTAGGGTGGGGAGCAGACAGAGGGGACGGGAGAACCAACCTGAACCCGGACTTAGGGTTGCATCCCGCTCAGGTGCTTACAGGCTGTGCGACCCTGGGCAAGTCACTTAACCTCTCTGGGCCTCATCCCCCATCTGTAAAATGGGGTGATTTGCCTTAACAGGAGAACCTGCTCGGTACCGAGCCCCACGTGTGCTGAGGCAGGCAACCCCATTTCATCGAGGGTACACGGAGGCCGGGAAGGGGTGTGGCTTTCCCCAGGTCACTCAGTGCCCATATGACCCCCTGCCTCACCCTGGACTAGACCTTCCCCACCGGGGCCTTGCTCTGCCCATCTCTGCCACTAGGGCTGGGCTTTCCAGACCCTCTGCAGGTGTGTGCATCTCCTCTACCCGGACCAGCCCCTCCAAACCCCAGTGGGCATGGGCAGCCCACAGACACCGCTCGGTGCGACGCCCATTTCGCAGGTGTGAAAACTTGAGTCCTCGGTGGGAACTGGCTCCTGTGAAGTCGCAGCGAGGATGCGGACGTGGGGAAGGGTGCCAGGATGCCAGGGCCCAGCCTGCCACGTCCACCGCCCGACTCACCTGGACTGGAAGGGCTCGGGGGCTCGGGCTCCAGGGCTGTGGCCTCTCGCTCCGGGAGGCTGGTGTCCGCGGTCTGGGCCTCTTCTCTGGCCTCCATGTCTCTGAGGGAACCTGCAGACACAGCCCCAGGGGAGTCGTGAGGCGCTGCCCCCCACAACCGGCGTCCTGACCCCCCCAGCACAGGCACAGCCCCGGGGCTGGGTGCAGTGGGGTCCGAGCAGGGTCTCGGCCCCCCAGGCGGTCAGAGGCCTCGAGGGAGCGGCCGTCAGCACGGGGGCTCTCCCCCAGGTCCCCCATGAGTAGATGTGCGAACCCCACCCGTGTACCCACCCCAAGCCCTGCACCAACACCTGGGGGCCACCCGGCCTCCTGCTCACCTCACCTGCCCTGCAGCCTCTGCCGACCCCACAGGCCGCTCTTGCCGGGACGCTGGCCCCGGGCAGCTCGACCCCTCCCCTCTCCTCCGCTCCACGCGTGAGCGCAGCGCAGCGCTGGCGTCTTCTGGGCGGGGCCTCTGGGGGCTGCCGAAATGCAGGCGCACCCTCTGCGGGGTCCCAGGGTCCTGGCGCACATCCACAACCCCCGCAGGTAAACATCTCCCGGGGCTCTGCACACCTGCCCCCTGTGCCTGGGACCCCTCCTCCAGGAAGCTGCCACACTCAGGTTCTGAGGTCTGGGAACGTGCAGAGGGCGGGCCCCGGTGCCTGGCACACAGGAAGAGCTCATCAGCCTGATTAAAGGGCTAAATGGCTGATGGGACACAGGTGGGTGCGCGGCGTCTGCAGTCCAGCCTCCGCGGCCCACTAATCCTCCCTCAAGCCTCACGCCGGGGGTGCCCCATGGAGCCCTCCGCACAGGGGGGGAGGCAGACTGAGTCCCCAGACCACCTAGGAGGGTGGCGAAGCCAGACCCACAGCGTGTCCCCGAGTGCAGGCCGGGGTGGCAACCTGTGCCCCCGAGGTCAGAGGGGCAGTGCCAGTGCTGTGGGTGGAGAGAACGGCGGAAAACAGCTGTCCCGCTTCACACTGCTCTGTGAATCCCCCACAGGCCCCTCCACCCCGTCTCAGCTGGGCCCTGGGGCCCGAGACAGGCGCCCGGGCAGCGCTGCCCCCTGCCCCACCACCTTCCCCAGCTCCTCCTGTGCAGACACCTGCCCGGCTGCACCCTCTGGATTCTAGCTCTGGCCCCACAGACCCACAGGCCCCGGGCTCCCCGGGACCCCTCAGAGCTGTACTGATAGCAGGAGCGCAGGCGCTCACCTTCCGTCACTTCCCGTGGCCGAGGCCGGGCTCAGACCACACAGAACCAGCCCTGGGCTAAGCCTCACGGTCTCTCATCAACGTGCCCACACGGTGGGCTCCGCGGTGGGCTGGGCACACCCCAGACTCGTGCCTCTGGGACAGGGGGGAGGCCTGACCCCCCCTGACCTCCCCTGGCAGACGCCGGGGCAGAAAAGCAGAGGCTCCCCGGCCCGTGGGACTGGCCCCCAGCCCGCACTGCCGGTTGCCCTGGCGGACAGCTCGCAGGCCTGCTTGCCTAACTCTTTCTAGAAGCCCAGGTGCTTCTGCGGCTCATTCAGAGCTGGAGATGGTGCCCCAGAGCTGTGGTCCCTCCTGCCGACGCCGGGACTTCAGGGCCTCAGTGGCCGGCTCTGGAGAACCGGTGTGAAGCCTCTGCTTTCAGGGACTGCAGCGACCAGAGCCCTGCACCCAGGCGATGCCGGGCACACGCCTCTCCCTCCCAGGTGGGCCTCAGCCACCCAGGGAGGCCCTGAGCTCCTGGCGGCTCCATTTATGGGAGAACAAAGGCACCCGCTCCGCACAAAGCGTGAAAGAGGCTGCCGGCTTCAGCAATTTATCCTAATGCTGCTAATTCATTCCAGCACAATTAACACTCTGATAACACAGGAGACAGTCATCAACCAGCAAACGGCTCCAGGCCCACAGCGGGATGTGACGCTGCGAATCCTGCCCCAGCCCTGCCCCACATCTGCCTCGGAGCCACTGCTGGAGCCCCCCCCGACACCCCCGGGGCCACCTGTGCACCTGGGTCCCCACTCCACCTGGGAGGAAGCTTTCTCCACTGGCTGGGGTGAGACGCAGCTGCTTCCCGGGGTGCCCTGGGCTAGGAAGGACCCTGCTCGACCCCTGTGGGGCCCTTTATGGTCAGACACCCCAACTACTGAGCCAGGCCAACCCACGGCCAGGCAGGCGGTGTCCTTGTTGTGTGACTACAGGCAAGTCACTCCACCTTCCTGTGGTCGGAAAGCACAACGGCTCCGGCCCCGCAGGACGAAACTCGGTTTCACCTGTGTGGAGCCGCGGTCAGCGCCCGGCACGCAGTAAGCGCGCAGGAAACACCACCGTCAGCAGCTTCAGTTGCTGCCACCCAGCCCCCGCAGGGCGTTGCTATTATGAAGCACTGCCTGTATGTGAGCCCCGTGCTCAGCCTTCTACAAACGTCTTCCCTTAAGCCCCCTGCCCACCTCGTAGCCCAGGGGTGGAGGGCCAGCAAGAGGCAGGCCCTGACGCCAGGCACGATGGGCGAGTGCCTGGGAGCCTTCCGACACCCCAGAGGTGCGGCCGAGTCATGCCCACTTCGCAGATTAGTCAACGGAGGCCCGGCCACGTGGACTGACCTGCCTGTGGCCCTCGGCAGGAGCCCGACTCCCCAAACACATCACCCACGTGGACACTGCTGAGGCCACAGCCCTCCTCTGCTCCAGGTGCGGCCCCGTGCCTCCCCCCACTGCCGATGACCTGGGGTGAGGGTGACACTGGCCCCATTGCCCGGCGCGAGGGAGAGGCCTGGGCCCAAGGCCGAGCACCTGTCTGGGGGCGTCCACGGGTGATGACGGTGGTCACCAGCACTGGGTACGGCCCCCGCTGCCCAAAGCCCCTCAGTTATCACGGCGAGCAGACGCCCCGCAAGCCGATCCGTCTCCTGCTCATTAAGCCGGACGCCGAAATGGAAATGAAAACATAATAGCTATTTGATTGGGGGTGAGATATTTTGCATATTGGCTTGGCGCTGATAGCGGAATTTCATCAACTCCCTTTTTTCATGCTTTAAAACTGAATTACGGAGACAGGCTCTGTGCAGCGGGATGACCCAACTCCCTTCCGAGGCCCAGGCTGCCGATGACTGATGGCCCTCCCGGCTGTGATGTGGAGGCAGCTGGGGGTCCTTCGGATGACTGCCCCAACGAAAGCGGGAGCTGGCAGCTGAGGAGGGCAGAATCGCCCGAGGTGGCCCTGGGGTGCACCTGCCAGGTGGCGTGCAGCGCGGGGTGGCTCAGAGCACGGGACAGGGAATCTGGAGGCCCCGGCCGAACCCCGCTGGCCCCTGCAGGCTGTGCCCGCCCCCCAGCCACTGGAAACATTACGAGGAACAACCAGAGCAAAGCCCCACGATCCTCCACCTGGACTCCGCACTTGACCTCGGGCGTGGGTCTTTCCTGCGGCTCCGCTATGTGGCTGCCATTACACAGCCATTTATGCCTCTGTGGGGAGATCCTTTGTGTTCCCAATGCACAGAGGAGGAAGGAGAGGTGGGGGCACCTGCCAGGCCCCCTTCTGTGTCAGGGCCGGAGCATGAACGCAGGCCCGATGGCCTGGGGGTGGGGTGGACGCTGGTGGGCACGCGGCCCTGCTCGTCCCCCGACATCCCCACCTGCACAGCCTGGGGTGCGGTGGACCTGAGCGCCCACGGCCTCCTTCTCAACTGCCGTTCACTCCTGCGCTCTTCATTCACTCATGAAACCTCCCCCGAGTCCACCTCCCTGCACAAGGTCCTGGGGACCCTGCAGCAGCCAACACGTACCCCCCAGGAAAGAAACGTGAAAAATGCAAGTGTGGTCATTGCCACCAAGGAGAGGTGGAGTGACAGTCAGGGAAGGCTTCCTGGAGGAGGCGACGAGTGAGCGGAGATCTGGGATGGGACAGGAGGCTGCCTGCGGGCGGGGCTGGGGAAGAGCACTCCAGGCAGAAGGAAGAGCGGGACGCCAAGGCCTGTGGCCTTGTGCAGGCCACGCCTCCCCGAGCCCAGCTTCCTCACGGAAAGCTGTGGGTTATAGCAGCCTCCTGTCATGGGCTGGGGTCAGGGTTCAGCAATGTGGTGCCAGTGGGTGCCGAGCACAGACCTGGGGTTATTATTACAACTGTTGTTATTGTTTCAACTCTCCGGGGAGGTGCCACACCTGCCCCTCTGGGGGTGCGATGGGGGGCGGGGCATGGACAGGGGCGTGGGGACCAAGGGGCACGGCTGGAGGGAGGGGAATGAGGGTCTGGGGCCTGAGGAGGGCAGTGTGGGTGGAAGAGAAAGACCTCCCCCTAGGCCGGCGGATGGTCCGGCCTCCTGTCCCACTGGCCCTGGTCAGCCGGTGGGCGGGAGGGGGCATGGCGCTGCCAGGGAGAGACCCTGGCCTCTGGGCAGCACACAGCAGCCAGATAAGGGCCCGATAACAGAGAGAAAATAGCAACAGATTCAGACTTTCCCACCGCCGGGCAGTGGGGCAGCTCGGGCCACGGCAGGGACAGGAGGCGGTGGGGACAGCCCTGTTCTCCCTGAGGGCGGCTGCGCTGTGTCCCGGGGGCTTGGGCCCCTCCAGCCAGGACGGGCTCTGGTCCAGCTGGGGCTGGGGGACGAGGAAACAGAGGCCCCGAGCACAGAGGCGGCCCCAGCCCCTCGGGACCATGTGACTTGCTCTCTACCCCCAGTTCTAACAAGGAGCTGGGCTGATTTCCAGGCTGAGCTGGATGGAGAGAAGCGGGCGAGAAGGGGAGCCCCCAGCAGGGACGGGGCAGCAGGCGGAGCCCAGCGTACGGGGCTCTGGTGAAGGGCAGGGGTGTCCCATGCCTCAGAGCCCAGGGCTGCCAGGAAAGGGGCAAAGGGGGGAGGCGGGCAGACAGGGGCAGGTCCTCGGCCCCAGGGAAGGTCACCAGGGCCTAGAAAGGGTCCCATTTAACCAGAACTTCTTAAAACTTTTGCCAGCACTTAGAAGGAAGGTGGGTCCCGGCCCATGGTCCCTGAGAAGCTCGCACAGCATGGGTGCAGGCATCGTGGGGGGAGGCTGACGATCTGGGAGGCCCCCTGGGCGCCTGTGGGTCCTCTTGTGCCCACCCTCCCGCTAGGGTACCAAGGCCCAGCACGGATGCTGGACACCCTCGGAGGGTCCACCTCATGTCCACCCCCCAAACGTGGCTAGAAGCTGCCCACTGCTCTCCGGGCCGCTCTGGCAGGAGGTCCAGGCCCATTAGCACAGGGCTGTCCTGGCTCCCAGCTCCTCCCCGCTCCCTCCACCCTCACTCCCTGGATGACAGCCAAACTGCTTCCGCTGTCCACGCCCCTCCAGGCCTGGGCCCTTAGCCCACGCCGTCCCTCTGCCAGGACAGCTCCCCCTGCCTGGTTGAGGCCTCCTCCTACCTCCATGAAATCTCTCCCCACACTTGGGTCATCCCTGGAGCCTTACATTTGTTTGCATTGTCCCCTGGGGTGCTGCTCTGATGCTTTGTTGCCCTCCCCCAGCGCCCAGCAGGAGGACGGAGGGAGACCCCGCCCCGCAGCCCACGCCATGGAAGGTGCAGCCGGCGTTGCCCCTAGCGGGCTGTACCCTACGATAAAGGTGCACCCACGGCCACAGGGACGAGATGCGGACCCCCCGCGGAGCACAGGGGGGTGGGCCTCTCTTCCTCGGGAAGCTCAGGCTGGGAGGGGCCCACAGGCCTCCACTGTGACCCGCCAGCGGCCCTCATCAACCCAGGATCAGTTCCTGCTGACAGCCAGGGCGACCACAAAGAGGATGTTGGCGAGATAATCTTGGCTTATTCGAGTGGGCAGCCTGCCCCGCGGAGGGGAGGGCGAGGGTCTGAACCTCCGTGTGCGCTGGGGGCGTGGGTCCAGATGCCCTCCCACGCTGGTCCTGCCCCCTGCCCCGATACCCGGTGGCAGGCGTGGCCCTGGGACAGGGGAGACGGGAGGGCGCTGGGGGGGGCAGCCTGACTCCCCGCCAAGGGTCGGCTGGATGGTGCTCGGGTGCACCCTGCAGCAGGGGGCTCACTTCTCCTTCCAGAGGAGCAGACATGAGCCCGGACCCTCGGCCTCTCAGGCTTGGTCCCCGCCTTGGGTGGGCAGGCCCCCAACACGGCTGTGGCTGAGTGGCCGTGGATTCACCTGCCTTTGCTGCCAGCCTGTGAGCTGGACTGATGTGCGCAGCCTCCTAGCCCACGTGCACCCAGGCCACGCCCGGGAGGTGCTGGTGGCACGCCGTCCTGAGTAAGCCAGGCCGAGGAGAGAGGCCAGCCGCGTCACAACACACTCTGGGCCGTGGGAGGGCGAGGAGAGCCCTCGGCGTCGAGGAAGAACTTGGGTGCTCAGAGCGGAGGCCAGCGGAGGCCCCATGCTCTCCGGGAACAGGGACCCCGTACTCTAAGGAACACGAGTGCTGCAACCTACTTCAGCTTTGAACGCATTAAAATACCGTAGGCAGGTATCAGTTGCATACAAAAAAATCCATCCTTTTAAGTGTCATTCACCTTTTGGAGGCATGTTCACTGAAAGATGAGCAGGACAGTCCTAGGTAACCCAGACAAAACCCAGGGCCCCCTGTAGCCCAGGCTCAACAAAGAGACACTTCAGCAGCCCAAATCCCCACCCGCTTCTCTCCAAAGCTTTGCAGGGGTCAGTCAGGATCTGAGACTGCCTTTCCCAGTCACTTCTCCACACCCCTGGCTGACGCAGCGCCTGGCACCCCCGCTTGGCTGTGCACTGTCCTGGCTTCCCTGTCTCTCCCCCAGACCCCTACTGTTCACATCTGTGCTCTCACTTCCTCACAGGAGCTCTGGCAACTGGGCTGCAAGGGCGTGGAGTGCACCTCGGTTCTCCGTCTCTGAAGCCCTGACTGTGGGCCGCGGCCCACCCCGACCCACGCCAGTGCCCGCCCTCCCCTGGCTCTGGCGAGGCCGTCCTGGCCTGAACTGTCCCGGCTCAGAACCGCCCGGCCTTCTCGCTGCACACTTACTCCATCACTGCCTTCTCCGTCTCTGTACCTGGAGACTGGGACATCCCCAGCTCTGGTGCACAGTAGGTGCTGCGGGAACTCTGGTGACTGCGGGACAGGTGGGGGAGGGGGACAGGTGGGGGAGGGGAACAGGTGGGCTCAGAGCCGGGCATGGCTGGGGGCCACCCGGGTCCACAGTGGTGGCGGTGGGGGAGTCTGGCATGGCCCCAGAGGGGAGCCTGGGGGCTGAGCCTGCTTGTTGGGGGTGTGTGTGACTAGGGACTCAGCCCCGGGGACCCTGAGCGGGCCACCTGCCCCCACTGGCGGAAAATAAGCCGGCCGGCCCTGCCTGGGGCTCTGAGGCCTGGGTGAGTATGGGGGCTCCACAGGATGCGGGGAGACGGGGCGCTGACACCCGGGGGTCTGCACCACATACCACCCCCAGCCACCACCACTTCCTCCTGTGGCCAGCCTGCAACCGACGGGCGAACTTGGGGGGCTTAAGTGCCCCGGCCCCAGGGCCACGCCCGGATCCCCGGCACGCATCACCCCTCGAGGCCGCACAGGGCAGGAGGGACCACGGGCAGCGCTGGGCCTGTCCCAGGCAGGAGTAATGCCACCATCACCATGACCATGACGACGGTGGCAGAGCAAGCGCTCGGGCAGCCTCTGCAGCAGGCCGGGCTCTAGGCTCATCCACGAGGGACTTCTGATCCTTGTAACGTCCAGGTGGGGAAACCGAGGCACAGAGCGGTAAAGAAGCTTGCCCAAGGCCTTACAGCTACGGGAGCGACGGGCTGCCACCTGCTCTCCCCTCCCGAGCCCTGCATTCTCGCCGAGGCCCGCCCCCCAAACCCACCGTCCCTGTTTGTACAGATGGGGGCCTGCTTGGGGGGCACTTGGACCCAGGTCTGTGTGGCTCCCAGGCCTCCTCTCCCCTCACTCAGCCTCAGTGTCCCTTCCTGGCTCCGCGCCACACAGCCTGAGCCTCGGAGAAGGCCTCCCTCCCCTGTGGGCAGCCCCCCTCCCTGGTCTGTGTGACTGCCGTCTGCCCCCTCGGACTGTTCCCTGAGGCAACGGGGGGGTGTCCGTCTGCTCCCCTGGCTGTGGTAGGGGGTCAGCAGGGGTGTGAAGCAGCTGGCGCCCAGGGCCCCTCCCTCCAGGAACTATTGCTCCCGCTGGCTCAGACCCCGAGACAAGTGTGCACAGCCCTCGACAGTTTATGAAGCTCTGCCAGGACCCGCATCAGCGCCAGCCTGTGGGGAAACAGGCTCCACGGGGCAAAGAGGGCAGCGGGGCAAGGAGCAGCCACCCTTACAGAGCAGCACCTCGGGCCACACGGCTCTTCAGGACCAAGCAGAACCGAGACTGCGCTGTGCCCAGGGTACCTGCCCAGGCCTTGGTTTACCCATGTGGGAAATGGGTATCAACCCACCGACCTCACAGAGCCGCTGTCAGTGCGGACAGGGAAGGGCTTTGCAGGAGATAAAGATGACCCCAGATGGGGGTCCTTCGCAGGAGCACCGTGATTCCTTCCACCAGGCCTTCCATGTGCTGGGTCAACTGTGAGCAAACAGGTCCAGATGGGGGTAAACAGTCTGGGTGGGGGGTGAACACACACCTTGGGTATCATGAAGGGCCAGGATGGGTACAGGATAAAGAATGGTGGGTGGGTGTGGGAGTGGTCACTGAGGGCTCCTCGGAGGAGGCGGTATTTAAGCTGTGACTGTGAATGGGGAACTCTAGACAGAGGGAAGTGCCAGTGCAAAGTCCCGGAATCGGGAAAGAGTTCGGTGGGTTTGGGTGCTGCAGCTGAGGAAAGAGCACCAAGGCTGAGAGAGAGGCAGAGAAGCCGGAGCAGCAGGGTGGCCGGCTGGGGTTTATTCTCGGCACCGTGGGAAACTAAGCGGAAGAATGTGGATGCTGGATTGCAGGAAGGACTCCAGCGTGCAGCTGCTGAGGCCCGGCCACCGCCTCCAGGCAGTCCCCAGTTCTCTGCCACCTCCTTGGTCTGGCTCCGCATCCTCCCCTGCCCAGAGCCTGTCCCGTCTCTCGGGCTAGGGCCAGCGGGCTGGTCCCCCACCTCGGTCCCTGGGGGCAGGGGCCCAGGCGGGCAAGGCGGAGAGAAAGGGGAGCAGAGGAGGCGGGAAGAAAGAGCGGGGCCTGAGAAAGCCCA